CGTCGGTGTATGAAGAGGTCCGGGGGGGTGTCATCTTGACAGCGAAACACGGCGGCGATGACCACTGTAGGCAATCCGATAATCAGTTATTAATTTAACATTGATCCGCGACTGCCATCCGCCGCCGTCCCGCGTATTCACTTAATATACTTCCATATTGTTTTCAAAGTTAATAAAAAACCACAACTTTTAAGCCGGTTTTATCTATTTTCTTCAACCCCCCCTTACTACCGTGTCAAATTTGGCTCCCCGCTGAGGAAAAAGTCCCGGTGTTCAGCGAAACCAGGTAGGATTATTTTGGCCGCTGTTTTACTGAGAAAAAATTTTACACTCGATTTAAATAATATTTAATTTGCTTAAATTGTCAAAATATTTATTCGTGTAAATTTTCTTCAACCCCCCCTTACTACCGTGTCAAGACACATTATCGAGTAAGCATGTCCATATTCGCAAATAGCCTGAAATCCCAATTTCTTTAACCCTGCACCCCCTCCACCTACCACTATGTAAATTAGAAGTTATTGTGGGTTTCTGAAAATCTTGATGGAGTGCAGCATTACGAACAAACCATGGAGCATTTGATATTATCCTTAGAATTTTTGATTGAAATATTTGTATTTTGTGTAAATGGGTTTTAGCGCAATTTCCCCATACAGGAACAGCATATAACAGTAGAGGTCGTAAGATTTGTTTATATATCATAAGAGAACATCTCCAGCTTAATGAGGTTTGTCGGTTGATCAGCGGGTATAGTATTTTAAGCCTCTGGTAGCTTTGTTGTAGTTTGGAGGTGATATGAGAATTCCATTTTTGTTTTCTGTCTAGGATGACATCGAGGTATTTGATGTTAGGTGACCATGGTATATTGTTATCATAGAGTTTTAAATTATTAGGAGTTCTGGGGCGACGGTTAGTGAAGAGGACCGCTGTGCTTTTTTGAGGGTTTAATTTCATTTTTCATTTTTTTCACCATTTTTGAATTTCCTTTATGTGCATATAGTGCTATTTCAGTTTTATTTATTGTAGGAAAATCCGAGACGCGTAAGTTAAAAAGTAAAGGTGATATTTTTGAACCCTTAAGAACGCCTGCATCGATTTGTTTTGTTTCCGATGTTGTCTCGTTTATTCGGACTTTGAAACAGCGATTGGAGAGGTAGGATTCAATTGGATTATGGACTGCGGTCGGGGTATTTAAAGTTTTTAATTTGAATAGCAGACCATTGTGCCACACACGATCGAAGGCTTGTACTACGTCTAAGAAGACTGCGCCTGCATGTTGTTTTTTTTTCAAATCCGTCATTTATATGTTCTGTTAAGCGTAATTGGTCTGTAATTGATTGGGTTGGAGTTATCTTTACCAGGTTTTTTGAACAGAATAATTGTGGCTATTTTATATTGTTAAAAATATTATTGCTTTCCTAGGGATATTTTTTAAGATAGTGTTAGTGATTAAGTCGTGTCCGGGAGATTTCCTTTTTGGCAATTTCTTGATTATGTCTAATATTTCATTAGAATTCGAGTACGGTAAGATATTTTGGGGAAGAACATCGGGCTCACTTAGTTTTTGTTGGACTAGATCGTTTGTGGTGTTATCTCGTGAGTTATTTAATGTGAAAGCATTTGTAAGGGTGCGAGCAAATATTTCACATTTATCGTAATCTGTATTTAGATAAACATCTCCCGCTTTTAATGGAGGGATTTTATTGGAGTTTAATTTAATTAATCTTTTGGTTGTCATCCAATGATCGGAGTCTGCTGGGTGTATTGTTGATAGACATTTTTGGTAAGAGTTGATTCTGTGTTCTCCAAGTGAGTTTTTAACCCTCTTTTGTTAGATAATTTAGTTTTTTCCTAACTTCAGGTTGTCTATGCAATTGCCAGAGTCTCCTAGTTTGATGTTTCAATTTAATTAATTTTAAAATTATGGGAGAAAGTTGATTTGGACTATAATTTGTTATCGAGTTTTTTTTTGCTGAGCATGTTTCGGCCACTTTGCAAATGATCTCACGTAAGTGTTTTACTGCGTCATCTGCTTTGGAAGTGTTTAAAATATTTTTGGGAATGATTAGGTTTTGTGTGATATGCTGTTTGAATTTGTCCCAATCTGGTTTTCCGGTTATGATTTTACAGGTAGATGCGGTGAAAGATAAGGACGCATCAATTGTAATTTTTACGGGTAGGTGGTCCGAGTCGAGTTCTTATAGTGGTTCTTGGTGAATGGGTGTTTGGATTGATTTCAGTAATATTACATCTAGGATATCTAGATTTCTAGGCTGTGTAATAAAGATAGTTTTATGGAAATAAAATATGTGCACTAAAAAGACCATTTTAGTAGGAACTGGGTTATAGAAGAGTTATTTGGCATAAACACCATCGGTTATTAATTACCCATTATCCATAACACTTACCTTTTCTCTATAGCATTGTCATTTAATTTTAATTTTACATTATTGTGTTGAAAGCAGATGGAAAATATTTTAAGGCAAAACAACAAATAGGCTTAACCCGTAGAACGAGGGTTCTCTATTTCTTATATTATTTTTGTATTTTGAGGTCTGCCCTAAATCCTCCGTCGCCTCGTTGCCTATATTCTACTGTATAGTCCTCTCGGATAAAATCACTTTCAAATTAACGCTTTGATGGTTACTTGTTATTGCAAAATATCAGGAGTGGCCGTTAAAATATTCGCTGAACATAGGGAAACCGCAACGAAAAAAAGGACGTAAATGGAAACGTATTATATCCTTTGGTATTTGGAAATGAGCTAGACGGAGGTATTACTATATCTGAGTAATCCAATAATATAATAATATATCTAATTAATAATATAATTTTTTTTTAAATTCTCTTAAAATGATATTAAACAAATGTTTCAAAATACAATACGTCATAACGACTTATATAACTATAAAATCCCTGTTTCTTTTCAAATAAACACTTATAACTTACTATTTGTGCAATATTATTTAAATTTATAAAAATAAAAAAAATTACTACAATTTAGTAGGAATTTAAAAGGGGACATATCTGTACTAAATTTCAATAGGTATAGACATTATTTATGACATCATCTACATAATAGTTATTACAACTTATCACGATACCGTTTTTTTTTTTAAATTGTCAACCAGCCAAAAGTTGGATTCATCTCTATAGCTCTGCTTAAACATTTACCGAATAAAATGTACTCATTTCCAAATGATATGCGCAATCCTATTATTGGTTCAAATTTTCCGTTCTGACTAGAGGAGTTCTCTATATGAAAATGAATTCATATTTCTACCATATAAGTGGTCATGGTAGATGACACGTTTATTTTCATCCATTGTATCCCTTTTAATCGACTATAATGTTTTTTAAACCTTTAAATATTATTCCCTTTGTCTCAGTAATAGCTCTCAGCAAAAATCATGAATATTTTATACAGTTAACGGAAACCCGACTCAAAAATTGTAAAGTCTTAGTCTTTTCATTGTGTACAATAATTTGATTTTAAATTTACATGTTTACTGCCATTGATAATTTTTACCAAAAAGTCTATTGGCTTATTTTGAAATAGTGTTACTTAAATTGCAAAGCGCCGAAATAATATGAACAAAATGTCATCAAAATTTCAAAACTTGGAAAAACGGTTCGAATTTTACTTAGAGGGTTTTCGTTTTAAGAAAAGCTAGATTGTAATAAGCAATGTGTACTTTAGATTCCATGTAGAGCTTAAGAGGTCCTTAATTTCATTGATGCGATATTTCCTTTTATGGTTTTTGGATTTTCTTCAAATACACAGACTACTGGACTTCATTAGAAATTAGCATACTAACAGAGTATTTGAAAATTCCACGAAGCTTACAAATTCGAAATGGTACTTGGATTGGTATTATTTTTACATTAAAAAAAGTGACTAGTTACAAAACAAAGCCACTGGTTTTGTTTACGGGTTTAAACCGTGGACTGATTCGCGGGGATTCGGTAATAATTCAATAAATAGTGACGAAGTATAAGAGCAAAATAGTATATTAATCAATCAAATCTACATTTGTATATGAATATGTGAAATATTACATACATGCAGTAATTCGAGAACAGTTAATGATATAATCAAACTATGAAGAAAACCAACTTCGAAAGATGATATTTTCAACTGTTTCCGCTGTGAATCTCCCATCTGAAAGTATAAAATATTAATTATTATACATTATGTAAACAAACATATCAAGCCAATTGAGTTGAGAATAACAATGTTACACTAAAAAAAACGTCTTTGTTTCAAATAATTGTATGAGTAGAATAATGTTATATCACGTATCTCACGTTTTGCTTATTCTTTTTTTGTACATCAAAAAAGGTTTTTTAATTTGTTAGTTATTTTTCGAGTTTTAATATTTAGTTTGAAAAAAAAAAAATTTACATCTATAAAAATGATAAATTGTATTATAATTTTTTTGCATTAGTTTTTGAACATTTTACTTGACACATGTATTGAATATAATTCTATTGTTTTATTACTTTTCCAATATTTTATGAAGTGCTCATATTTGGGTACTCCTATGGTTACTTCCGGCGCTGCATCTACTATTATCCTGCATATTGCTATGATATCTCTATGGCTTTTCAAATTACTATTATTGTAACTCTGGATCACTCTTTTTACTGTTGCCTATTATTATAAGAGTAATAATTAGAAATTAAATAGTGTATTACAAGTAACAAATAAAATTGATTCCTCCTTAGCGAAATAAAAACTGCTATCTACAAGACACAAAATAGGCCATAAGGTTTTTATATGCAAAAAAAAACATGAATTATATAGTAGTTAACGTATTAATTTCATATTATGTAAAAAATGGGAGAATATATTATATTTTATTTCTCTCTTACTGTATCAATAGTTGGAAAAATTCGTTCGAAAATGGTTCTTTTATTAAATATTTTTTTATATGTAAAGAATCAGTGTCTAAATCATTTACTATAAAAAAGAAAAACAATATTTATCGAGACCCAAAATGAAAAAATGGCAGATGTCTAACTTTTTGAAAGTTTAAATATTTTGAATATCTCACAAAACCAACCTAACAAGCCTTTTATTTGAAATACAGTAATATGGTTGTTATTTACCTTTAATTCCGGTGTTTTTGTAGCAGCAAACGCTAGGGCATAGGTCATAACATCATCCTTATGAAACATACGGTCTGAAAGTACAAAATATTATACATTTTTTAAACAAACGAATCAGGTCAAATGAGTTGAGAATAACTATGTGGTATACTAGAAAAACATTAATATTTAAAATAATAGTAGTTTTTAGAATAATAATGTAATAAAAATATGGTCCCAATTTTCTCAATTTTTTATTAGGTTTATTTATTACTAACTCTTAGTTTAAAAAAAAATACTTTTTTATAGTTATTACATTTGATTGTTAATGATGATGTCTTTTCAATGGTTTTTGACCATTTTACTCAACATATTTATTGAATATTTTTATAAATCGTTTAATTACCTGATATTACCTTGCTTCAAATTTCGCTTGACTATATCTCTAACAAAGCTCTATAATTTTCAGAATAAGAATTTAATTTTAAAATGTATTTTATAGTTAACACAATAACTGATTCTTCATTAGCGAACCAAAACGCTAAACTATGAACAAACGTTTGGAGAAACCCCCCTTCCCGCGGAACTTTTTGAAGCGTACCCAGCATGTATGTTACGATAAAAATAATTTTTTTAAATTGTTTTGGTATTTTTTCGATTATTTTGGGCAAAAAAAACATGAGAAAAAAAAATCATAAAACATTTTAAATAATCTTTTTATCGTAACAGACATGCAGCTATAAGTTTTATTTTAGGAAAATTTTTTAAATTTTAATTCCTCATTTCTGTTTAATGTTATAAGTGTTAATCCTGTTTTAAATGAGAGAATTAAAAGTTATTATTTTCAATATCTTAACACAAACAAACTAACGAGCTTTTTATTTGTAATATAGTTTTATAGTTTTTATTTACAATTAAACTTTGATTTGTGTTAGCTGTAAACGATAGGATGAAGATTACAGCTTCGTCATTTGTATATCGAAAACCTGAAAGTACATAGTAATGTTTATTATTAAAATTACCAAATTTAACAGCAAGGGAATCGAAAATAGTATCGTGTTACAATTGAAAAACATTTGTTTTTTATGTTATTGTAATTTAAGAATAATAAAGTCAAATCACATTATATATTCATAGTGATATTGGTTAATGAATATATCACATGATAATTATCACATTTTATAATTTGTTTTGTACATCATCAAAATGTACCCGTTTTTTTAACTTTTCATTTGTTTTAAGTGTTATGATTTTTTTATTACAATTTTTTTTTAATTTTCAACTACATAAGTTACAAAATTGATTATTAAATTGTTTTTTCAACATTTTTCTATTATCTATTACCTAAATCCACATCATTTTCATTACAATTTTCGTCGATTGTTTGTCCTACTTTGAGTACTACTTCTTGTAATTGACTTAAGTCCATTGTGCCATCATGCCCCACTTTTGACGCGACTAGTTCTCTAACCATATTCTATAATTTTCAGAATAAGTGTAAAAGTATGTTTAGTATAAGTGAAAAATATTCTTCTAAGCGTAACTGGCGATTGTAAGAACATTAAATACGTTTTCTAAACAAAATATCGCTTCTCCAGTGGAACAATGGTGCAAGTGCAAATTTTTTACTTTTTGACTTAATTACGAAAACAGTATGATAACATTGAATTTTATCGAGTAAAACCGTGGCATAAGTGTAATACTTATTATTGACCGCTAGAGAGCAGTTTTGTCGTTTACCATCGTGTACGGTTACCATTGCCCTAAATTTTAAAACACGTTTTCTGTTGAACAGTTAAATTTGCACTTACACAGGCGCGTAGCTAGGAATTTTTTTGGGGGTAGGCTCACTATAAGCCATTGATAAACAAAGTTATTAATGTTTATTCTTATTAATAATTAATTTCTTTTTCTATATATATGAGGCATTCTGAGTCAAATCACGCGGTCATCGGCCTGACCTCAAATTTTGTTGAAATTTTTTTTTTCAAACTTCTTTTAGTCTAATATAGTACTCTAATTTTTTGGAAATTTTTATCACTAATCTTTGCCCCAAAAATAGAGGTTTTTTAAAGTTTTTTATTTAAAAAAAACGATTTCGACCAGTTTTAAATTTTTGAAATTGTTATCATAAAATCAGAGATTTAAATAAAATCTTTTCGTCTACTAAAGAAAGTGGGGCGAGATTTATTTATTTACTTTTTTTTAATAATGAAAATTTTCCCGGGTGGTCACTCATCCTGGATCAAGCAGCAACGGACACATAGCGCTCACACTATGCCCCTGTGTATTATTTGTAATGTTATTCCTAAGGAACATTTTTTACTTTTTACTCCTAAAATATGCAAAAAATCAAAATTTACCAAGACTTGTTTTATTATTTAATAAGAAAATTGAAATAAAATTTTTTATTTCAGATTAAAAAAAAAAAAATTTCTTTATTAAAAAAAAATTAGAAATATATGTCTCGACCCACTCCCGTTATTAGACTAAAAGATTTGATTTGTCTGTGATTTTATGAAAAAAAATTCAGAAATTTAAAACTTGTTGAAATCGATTTTTTTGGAAAAATGACTTTAAAACCCTCTATTGTTGGGGCAAAAATTAGTGATAAAAATTTTCAAATAATAAAATCTAATATTAGACTTAAGGAAGTTTGAAAAAAAAATTTGAGGAGGTCAGGCCGATAACCGCGTGATTTAACTCAGAATGCCCCATATATAGAAAATGTTGGTTAGGCCCGGGTCACCAGGCCTACCTACTGGCTACGCCCCTGTACTTACACCATTGTTCCACTGGAGAAGCGATATTACGTTTGGCATATAGTCTTTTTTATTCGAATGATCTTTTTATTCAATATTATTTAAGACTATTTATTCCAATACTTATTTTATTCTACAAAATCTAAGTTGCTTTCTAACAATTTTTATACGACAAATTGTAATACATTTTTTTTTAATATGTCAACAATTAAAGAACATAACTAAAGAAAAAATTAATATTTATAAAAAAATAAAACATATAGTCTAAGGTTTTTTTTTATTTGCATAATAATTATCCAATTTAAAAATTATACGTCGATCATTCGAAAAATTATTCGTCGGTCATTCGAATAAAAACATGATTTAAATAAATATTTAGGAAAACAATTTTCTAAATAATATCTATCGCTGTATAAAGTTAAACAAGAATTTCAGCGTTATACCTCGATCATAATTAATAATAAGTGCTGGTTTACTTACAATCTGTTCTTCAGTTGGGGGGACACCTTGACATTGGAAAAAGAATGACGCCATGCAGAAAAACAGTATACTTTTCAAATACATGTTAATTTATCAAAGAAATAAACTCGGATTCAGAATGTTAAATTATAAGTTTTGGAAATAAAAACTGTTTTGAAACTATTCGATACTTATGAAGATTTTATAATGTAATTTGAGTATTGTATTATTGATTGGTGACTGTGATTCAAATAGTATGAATTAGCGTAGTACCTACTATAAGAACATATACTTCAGGACTGAACACAATTTCAAATTCATAACTATTGAGTTGTGCCGTTTTAAGTAAACAGTAGATATTCAAGAACTTTTTTATTTGCATTGTATGCCATTTTTCATACACGCACTCTCTCGTTGTTATTTTTTAGAATAACTTACTACATTTACTTGTAAAACCGTTTTCTCATGTGTAAAATATATGCAAATATTGCCAACGTTTTTCGATAGTGTTCTGTCTAAAGGATATTTCATACAATTTAACTTTTTTATACTAACATTTTTAAATATATAATATTTTTGTTAGTACCTATCGGTTGTGAAAAGGGAAAGAATAAACTATTTTTGGCCAATTAGGTTACTTGGAGTTTTTTCTTATTGGTTAAAAATAATTATGATTTTTAACATACACGAAAAACAATTTTAATGATAAAAATCCACGGTGTATAAACAATACTTTCTCAGCTCCGCATCGTAGCTAAACATAATATACAATATTTACAATTTTCTCAATTGAATCAAAGAAATAGTTAATAATTGAAAATTGTTTTCGCTTAGTTATCTAATTAATGCTAAAAACATAATTGGAAAATCCAAACTTAACACGCCATTTTTGTGTTTTTTCAGCTTCAGTTGTGTCTTGACCCACGATATTATGTAAACCGCTGAACTGATTTCTTCGTGTACCAGCTCTATAAATCACAAATATCATCTAGTTAGTACTTTGGGGGGGGGATAAAATTTGAAAAAGTTTACTTTTTCACAGTCGAAATTTGAAAAAAAAAACATACGAGTTTTTATGTTAGAACTTTTACTGGCTATAATTTCGATAAAAAGAGTCAGATCGTGTTGAATTTTTTTAAGGAATATTTATTTGGCATGCCCGCACACGTCAGTTATATCAAATTAAAAATAAACCCATTTCCCACCCCGTAAAAGGTGGGTCCAGGTTTTTTTAGTTTTTTAGCCGTTATTTAAAGACCTTTAAGCTGAAAATTTGTCAGTAGTTAGAACTCAAATGTATATTCATAACATATTAAACGGAAAACAAATTCGGCAACACAGTTTTTTTTAATTGCTGGAAAACTGTCTTTTCGCAATTTGCGTATATTTTAACAAAAAAACCTAAAATTTTAAAAACAATTTTATGTAGATCTATGCAGAATGATACTATTAAGTTTTGTGCTCAAGTACCACTTTTTACTTTTAGTTTACACAAATTCAATTTTTTTTTTTTCCTAAGTTTTTTCTGGCTGATTAAAATTGAGAACTGATATAAAATTCGTAATTATTATACCATAGTATGAAAGTAAGACACAATTAGATTAATGTAAATAATAATATTCGCTGACGTTTATTTCATAAACCCAAACTACACGAATGACGAGTTGTGCTGGTGTAGCACTCGCGTAGGATGGACAATCCCCACCAAATACATATATTTATATAACCTGCTGATACGTAATACCTCTTTTCTTTTTTAAAATCAAATCAAAAATAATATACTTAACCATAATTATATTTTTAATATTATATAGGTAGACAATACAAATTATTACAAAAGCAATATCAAATTACAATATTTCGTACAAAAGTAATAATTATGTGTGGTAAACATGTTTTTATAACATGCAAAAATAATACAGTAACATACTTATTAATAATCACAAGGAGTAAAACGCTGAATAGGGTTTTTAATTCTAACAGGTCTAAGATGTAAGAATGTCCTTAATTTTGTATACGCTTTGACACAATTCGGTGATCAATGCCATTTAATATCCCTATTTAGAAGCAAATAAAGTGGTTTTAAAGTATCTGTTGCGTTAGGTTTAAATTTAATATAATATGTTACTAATCCTGAAAACGATTTCAGTATGTTTTATTTTCTGGAATTTGAGCTGAAGAAATAGCGTCAGTGTGTTCTAACAATGTGTGTAAGGCTTGCTCAACAATTTTATAACCTAGATATTTAATACGATATTCAATATTTAGTAAGAGTAGCAGAGAAGTATAAAATCAGATGTATAGCCCTGCAAGAAGTGAGATGGGAAGATGCAGGATCTAGTAAAATATCTCAAACAACCATCATTAACGGAAATAGTGAACAAGGACAGATTAGGGACTGGTTTCGCGATACATGAATCAATAATTCACATGGTGAAGGACTTCAGGGATATTAGCCCAAGAATCTCCACATTAACACTAAGGACCAGAGATTTTCGAATAGTTCTAATTAATGCTCATGCTCCAACCGAAGAAAAAGACGATTAAGGGAAGAAAGAGTTCTACTCTACATTAGAAGACGTAATGGATACAGCAGTTGGTGATGTTAAAATAGTTCTATGTGATTTTAATGCTAAAATCGGCAAGGAAGCGCTGTATAGAGCGGTAATTTGGACACAAAGCCTACATGAAGCTTCGAATGATAACGGTATGAAGCTGATTAATTTTGCAGTAAGAAAAGGACTATGTATAAAAAGCACTATATTCCCACGCAAGGAGATTCATAAGTACACCTGGGTATCCCGTGATGGAAAATATAAGAATTAGATAGACCACGTTCTGGTAAATGAGAAGTTTAAAAATGGAATTACTAATGTTCGAACATTACGTGGGGCAGACTCTGATTCTGATAATTTACTAGTGGGTTTTTGGATACGAATAAAGCTAAAAAAGCACATTAAATGTAATGCAACATTCATGAGAAGATATGACGTGGAGAAGTTGGAAGACAAGAGGATTCTCAAGGATTATAACAGCACAACCAAGAAGATTTTTGAAGAATAGCAGATAAAACATACCAGTGATATGAATGAAATATGGAATATTGTCAAAGATACTATAGAAGCAGCAGCGACGGGAGTAATAGGAACAAAAAGAAATGTATCAAAAGTTTTGTTCAATAATATATGCGAGGAAGCACTACAGAGAAGAAAAGCTCCTCGTGAAGAATGGTTAAAGGATACGAACAATGAGACAAAGAGAACAAGGTTTATCACACGACGAAAGGAGGCAAATAACATTTTAAGATGTGAGAAAAGAAAATTTGTATGTAACTTGCTAGAAAGGACAGAACAATATTTTAAAGCAAATAAAACACGTGATATGTATAAGACTATTAAGAATTTAAGTGAGGATTTCAAAAGAAGCGAACGTTTTATTAGAGATAGTAATGGATCCTTGGTTACTACAAATGAAGATATAGCTAAAGAATGGGAGAAATACTTTGAAGAGCGACTGAACTGTGAAGAACCAGACGAATTGTTCATGTATGACCTAGGAAATACAAACGACCAAGAATGCCTAGAGCCTACTCTAGAAGAAATAGACTTACAAATAAAGAATCTGAAAAACAATAAGTCTCCAGGCGAAGATGGTTTCCAGACTGAATTGCTTAAAAAAGGAGGGGAGGACGTGACACAATGGATCTGGCAAGTGATAAAAAAAGTATGGGTAACGGAAGAATTTCCAGAAGATTGGAAAATGTCCCTAATCTGCCCAATACACAAAAAAGGAGATAAACAAGACCGCAATAATTATAGGGGAATTGCCCTATTGAATGTGGCGTACAAAGTGTTCTCAAATTGTATTCTAACAAGAATAAAGGAAAAAGCAGAACAGACAATTGGTGAGTCTTAAGGTGGTTTTAGACCGGGGAAGTCGACGACGGACCAAATATTTATTATTAGACAATTATACCAAAAAACATGGGAATTCGGTAAGAAGATACATACGTTATTCGTTGACTTCAAAAAAGCATACGACAGTATTCATAGGGAAAGTCTCATAAACATTTTGAAAGAGTTCGATTTCCCCCAGAAGCTGGTCAATTTACCAATATGTTCTATTTTAGACAATGGATACTCTGTTCCCTCCAAAACTGGGTTAATTGTAATTTTAAAATCACCACAAATTCTTACTGTGCCGTCAGATTTTAAAATTGGAACAATAGGTGTTGCCTATTCACTGTAGTCAACAGGAACTAGAATTTGATTGACTACTAAACCATTTGTCTCTACTTTACTTTTTAACGCTAAATGAATTAACCTGAACCTGGGTTTAATAAATTTGGGTATAGCCCCTTTTTTAATATTTGATGAAATTTCATATTTATTAAATGTCCCTAAATCATCTTTAAACAGTTCTTCAAAGTTTTTTAATATTTGATACAGATCTAAATTATCACTGTCATTTATATTTTTATATAAGGGTGAGTAATTAATTGTAAGTAAATATTTTCTTAGGAGGAGGAGTGGCCGAGTGGGTAAGGCGACAGTGTGTTAGCGCTCACTGTCGCTGGTTCGACACTCGGTCACAGGCGCTCCATTTGCTGGGCGAGCAATCGTCCGGTGAAAAAGAACCGCCAGCTCCTCTTTCCGGTGACGGGTTGACGACCAGTCCCGGAAGCGAATTCGCCAAGAAACCATTTCATGATGGCAGTGTTTGGGCTTCATGGCCCGTTAAGCTACACGATGATGATGATGAAATAATTTCTATCTATCAAAGGAAGGCCTCCCTTTTCAATGACAGATATACACATTTTAAAAGCCTTGTTTGAATATTTCGCATTTATCATACGAATTAGAAGTTTATATGTACCTATATATTTGTTTTATGTTATGTTGATGGTTTTTCTCGTATTACCGAATATATTTCAAACGTTTCTAAAAAACCCATAAGCATTGATGATCTTTTAGAGCCGCGGTTGCGTTGAAAAGGTCATGAAGAAATCATTGCCAAAATTGTCAATTTATATTAAAAAATAACAAAAATGATTGAGTCGCCATAAAAATGAAAAACAATATAATATTTATTATATGGCTTCATTAGACACTGCCGTTGGACGGAATAAATAAAACTAATACTAAACAAGTGTCCTATTTTCCCTTTAGTGGTTGTACAGTTTTATGATTTAAATCTATTAATTCAACAGTGGATATTTATATAAAAATTATAATAACCCAGTTTTATCTAACTAAATGATTTAAAGTCTTTCAAATGCTTTACGGTTATTGT